TCTCGGGCGTGGCCCCAGTGACGGAGTCCCGCGTTGAAGAGGTGACCGCGGCAGCTGACGCCTTTGAGACTCCTGGTCCCGCATCTACACGGGGGGGCGCAGACGCAGAAGACGCTGGCAATCTGGACGAAAAGGAAATCAGTGTTGTGATGCGCCAGGGTAACACGAACCGCGCTGGCGCCATCCGGGCCCTTAAGAACAACAATGGCGATATTGTTAACGCCATCTTGGAGCTGACGATGTGAGCACAATACCAACTGAACCGGATAAAAGGCGAAGGAAGAAAGTGTATGGGGTGAAGCCACTCTTTTTTTTTTTGTTCTGTTTTTGTTCTAATCATTTTTCATGAAGCTTCAAAGGGATTGACTCAACGTCTTCCCGGGAGTTGGTACCTCGTCTCCTGGAAGACACAAAGTGCTTCTTCCTTTTCACGGTGTTGTCCTCTTGCATTTTGCCCATTTTTTTTGTTTTATTTTGTCATCCACTTTTTTTCCCCCCCCTTTTTTTTTTTTTGGCTGCTGCTTCTTTCTTACTCATCCACACACCCGCTGTAGGTGGTTTGTCCCCAGATTCTTACAATGGCCCGTCGTCCGTCACGCTGTTACCGCTTCTGCAAGAACAAGCCGTTTCCGAAGTCGCGTTTCTGCCGTGGTGTGCCTGACCCGAAGATCCGCAACTTTGACATTGGCAGGCGCCGTGCTACGGTGGACGAGTTCCCCGTGTGCATCCACGTGGTTTCTCGTGAACTCGAGCAGATCTCTTCGGAGGCGCTGGAGGCGGCCCGTATTCAGGCCAACAAGTACATGGTGAAGCGTGCCAACAAGGAGGTGTTCCACATGCGCATCCGCGCCCACCCGTTCCACGTGCTCCGTATCAACAAGATGCTTTCCTGCGCTGGTGCCGATCGTCTGCAGACGGGCATGCGCCACTCCTACGGTAAGCCTAACGGAACCTGCGCTCGTGTTCGCATTGGCCAGATTCTCTTGTCGATGCGCACGAAGGAGGGTTACATTCCACAGGCGCTGGAGGCTCTCCGCCGCGCCAAGATGAAGTTCCCCGGCCGCCAGATCGTTGTCATGTCCAAGTACTGGGGCTTCACGAACATTCTCCGCTCCCAGTACGAGGAGCTGCGCGATGCCGGCAAGCTGCAGCAGCGTGGCATCCACGTCAAGCTCATCACGCCCAAGGGCAAGATTACGCAGCACAACCTGATGGCGTGAACAACAACCACCTCGTTTATGTTTGCTTGTTTTTGTTTCTGCTTTTAAGGTTTCTCTTTTTTTTTTCACGTTGTTGAACTGCTTTTGCTTTCTTTTTGCCTTTACTACTACTTTCTCGGCGTGGTGAGCTGCTCCTACGACAGTTAAC